GTCACATTTATTGATGATTACAGTCGTTTTACTTGAATATATTTTCTTAGATCTAAGTCTGAAGTGTTTTCTATGTTTCATAAGTTTTTAACATATGTTGAAATTCATTTTCAAGGAAGTGTTAAAAATTTTCGATCTGACTCTAGAGGTGAGTATATGTGCCATTCCGATTTTGGGTAAAAGCTCTTTCCACTGCCGTATTCTTTATCAATCGTCTTCCCTCTACGGTTGTTGAATTTGATTATCCCTTCTTTCGTCTTTTTAAAACTCAGCCTGATTATAGCGATTTACATACTTTTGGTTGTGTGTGTTTTGTTCACTTACCTCCGTTTGAACAAAATAAATTTAGAGCACAGTCTGTTCAATGTGCATTTATGAGGTATATCAACTTTCATAAGGGTTTTGTGTGTTATGATATCTCTAATCACCGCTTTCGAGTTTTTAGGAATGTTACATTTTTTGATAATGAATATATGTTTCATTCTCTTTCTCCTGCCACAATGATATTGACATTCTTCCAAAATTTTCCTTTATGCATCAATCTATAGAACAGTATAAACTAGGAATCGCATATGCTAGACAACACAAAAACCAGGTTCCTAGTGCCCCTCCCGACGCTGATCCCTTTCTCCTACAAGGTTGTAATGATTTATCCCTTTCTCTTAGAAGGGAGATGTATTTATAAAGGCTTTTGGGGCCTATGAATCTCTTGCGAAGGGTTACCACTAACAGTGGTGGACTGTTGAATCTCTATTTCCAAGGAAGTCGTGGATTATTTATTAACTTTGACTTCTCTCTGCCCCATAAACTTCTTTTCCCACGTTTCTCACGACTGGACGATACAAAGAACTTGCGGGTGAGGCGATACCTCCCCTCAACCGACATGCCATCGTCACCTCTCATGGGGCGTTTCCTACATAGTTTTTCAAGAACGAGGTCATTTGATATAGGACGACATATTTTTTAAATGGAGACTCAGAGGAGTATCCTGAGGCTCTGAACTTTTTTGAGGACATATTTGTTAAGATGAGGCTTCTATCATTTTGAGAATTTAGTTAGCCTGTGGCTTCTTTCATTAGCAAGTTGTCGTCTCAGTCTAGTTCTGCTATTGAGCCTACGAGCAGTTCTTTCAATCTCAGGATCAAAAAAAAGTTCTTCTGCCGGTACACTCCCTCGCATAAACAGATTCTGCACACTCAATCAAACAAATCAAGCAACACAAGAAAAGTAACAGGGGTAAGAACACAATACAAAGTTCTTAAATCAATAAACTATTGTAATGCTTGCAATATCATCAATTCTCGACAACGACGCCATTTTGTTCGAATCATAGTTAAAGGGGGTTTTTGTTATTGTCTCCACAGGGATTGAAGATATTTTGATGCTTGCCTTTCAACAGTTTATCCTTTAAGAATAAAGGTTTTCAAAGTTTTACTCATAAAATTTTCATGTTTTTAGTAGCAAAGCTTATAAGTTTCTAAAGATTTTTGTTAACAAAGTATATCAAAAGTAGTTTTAATCTACCCTAACTTATTAGTATTCTTTCAATCTTGCATGTGAAGCCGGACCGATTAATATCATCGCGTATTCTCTCAACACCGTCTATTTCTAGAGTGGCGTTGTGAGAAATATTGTATCCATCGCTACACGATTTCTCCATATAACAACCAATATAGTAAGCTTTAAGTTCAATACAAAGCAACTATCAACCATAGACCGATTTCTCCAATCTATAAACTGATAGATGAATAACGTAGGTCAAGTTTTACAAAATCTATGTCTAGAGTTTTACAAAATAAAAATGGATCATTAAGAACAAAAATATTCATCATATATTAATCATCATTTATTCACATACAAGGCCAATAAAAAAATACATACAAGTAAAAGGTAAACTACCTCTACCTTTGATTAAAAGGAAATTAGCTACCCACAACCATGGTAGATTGCTTTAAAAGTTTTGGAAGAAGATGAATTAGCATCCACGTCGAAGAATCGAACTCAGATGCGAATCCAGCTTCTATTTGCAAAATATCACCTATTGGTGAAAAAATATGAGAAAATGAAATTCTTGGGTGTAAAAGTGGGTTATGATCCTTAAAATTGGTGAAAAGTACTTATATAGTACTTTTTGAATCTGTCACATTCGAACTGCGAATGGTTTCTTCGCCCAACGAACCCCTTTTTTGGCACCTGAAGTGCCTTTGAACAGTTAAACCGCCCCTGAGAAATATCTGAAGTTCGTTGTGCAAGCAATTCTTTGCACTGCGAACTACCTCGCCTGCAAGTTTGCACAACGAACTTAGGGTCCTTTAGCTACTGACTTGGGTCTGGGATGGTTCATTGGCTCTTCGCTACTACATCGCCACATTGAATATTCGTTGCCTTGTTCGCCCAGCGAACTTACTGCCATCTTTCTAAGATGCTTCACTGGGACATCGCCTTATGTTCGCACAGTGAACATTCGCTAGCACTCCTCGTTGGCTGTTCATATAACAAACATGCTGAAATTCTTCTCTTCCTTTGGTTTCCTTATCCAAATACTTGTGTCTTACACTTTGATGGTTTTATGCCTAATTCCTGGATAATAACGCACAAACCAAAGAAACTAAAAGTATTTTCACAATATTGAAGAATAGCATGATAACATGGAGTAAATCTAACAAAACAACACAAAAGAATTGAAAAATGTCAATAACTAATGATCAATTTAAAGAAATATTGGTATTCAAAAACTAATAAATATGTGCGCTAGGTATAAGCAATGAATGACGAACTTCAGGCACTTTAAGAGAATTTTGCATGGGATATTGTCTCTTGTCTGCTAATATCTAACCCATAGGCTGTAAACGGGTGTATTATGTGAAACTAAATTCTGATGGATTTCTAAACCGTTTCAAGGCTCGATTGGTTGCCTTAGGAAATAAGCAGGAATATGGAATTGATTATGATGATACATTTCCACCGGTTGCCAAAATGACTTCTATTCGTACGATACACTATATAGTTGCTTCTAACGGGTGGTCTCTTCATCAAATAGATGTGAAAAATGCTTTTCTTCATGATAAATTAACGAAATATATTTATATGACTCCTCATCAAGGTTTATTTTCATCATCTAAGGGTGTGTGCAAGCTCAAGCGCTCGTTATACGATTTGAAACAAACGCCTCGAGCATGGTATAAAAAATTCCATTTCACTCTACTTGGATTCTCCTTTACTTATAGTCAGTATGATTCTTCTCTATTTATTTATAGAACGTCTATTGGAATTGTCATACTTCTTCAGTATGTTAATGATATGATTATTACTGGTCCTGATCATGCTTCGATTCAAAGCCTTAAACAACAGTTACAAGCATCGTTTCATTTGAAAGATCTTAGTAATTTGCATTATTTTCTTGGTCTCAAGGTTCATTCTACATCCAAGGGCATCTTCATCCATCAACACAAGTATGCCACATATTTAATTTCTATGGTTGGTCTTTATTCGGCTAATTCAGTGTATACTCCTCTTGAGGTTAATGTTAAACATCATCGTGATGATGGTGATCTCTTGCCCAATCCCTTAGTGTATCGTCAACTCGTGGGTAGTCTTAATTACTTGACTATTACTCGCTTTGACATATCTTTTGTTGTTCAACACGTAAGTCAATTTATGCACTCTACTCACCATCTTTACTTGGCAGCAGTTCGTCGCATAATTCGCTACTTGAAGGAAAGCTCTAACCGTAGTTTATTCTTTCTCACTGGAATTACTCCTAAATTTAGTGTTTGTAGTGATGCTAATTGGGAAGGGTGTCATGATACTCGAAGATCTGTCACTGGTTGAAGCATGTTTTTTTAACTTTTCATTAATCTCATGGAAAGTAAGAAACATGCTAGAGTCTCTAAATCTTCTACTGGATCTGAGTATCGTGCCTTGTCTGCTGTTTGTTCTGAAATAATTTGGCTTCGTAGTCTTTTGATTGAACTTGAATTTCTTCAAATAGAGTCAATTTCACTTTATACTGACAATACAAGTGTCACCCAAATCGTTGCGAATCCTGTTTTTCATAAACGCACCAAATATATCGAAGTTGATTGTCATTCAATTCGCGACATGTATGATGACCGACTAATATCACTTTCTGATGTTAATACTCCGTTGCAGGTTGCAAATATTCTTACCAAGGTTATTTCACGTCCACATCATCAGTTTCTTATTAGCAAATTGACACTCATTGACCTGCAGCATCAATTTGAAGAGGGGTGTGAATAAAAATTAGTTTGTTCCAAGAATAAGAGAAATAAATTAGAAATTGATTTTTTCATATTAAATGTAATTATTTTGTGTAACTACCTGTATAACACTGTAACCTCTATACATACAAAAAAAAAATAACAAAGAGGAAGACATCAAGCTAAAAATTATTGATAAATATTACATGTGTGTCAAATTTGTAACTGTCAACCACACACTGAAATTGGGTTAATGAATTGTTTTGAATCCCAAGTAGGAATAACAATCAAATAAATCCAAATAAAAACATTGCGTTTTTGATACATGAAACCTTGCCTATATCTAAATGTGAAATTAAGTAATGGCAATGCATCATTATATTGAAGATTCTTAATGATTTTGATTATGTTGGTAAATTAACTGCTGAAGGAAAAGAGAAATCATTTCTATTTCAGATGAAGGAAAGGCACAAATGAAGTGGAGTGATCGAAGAGAGAATTTTATAAATGAAAGCTATCTTAGCTGCTAGGTACTAAAGTCTAATACCTCATTTCTTTGTTTGGTAAATAATTCCAAAGAGGCCTTATAAAATGAGATAAATAATTTATTGAGAAAACTTCAATATTTTATCATGGAACTAGAAGTATAAATAAACTTACATTATACATCTCATAGTAATTCTTTCCAAATCATCTTCATTATGCTCTCAAATATTTATATAGCTTGGAATTAAATTCTGCCATCTTTTCTGCTTGCTTTATCTACGAATGCTTCTGATGCTATGCATCTAGCATTCTCAGGGACTCTAATGTCTCATTTGAGAAATGGACAGGAGAGTTTGAAGGAGAAGGCAAAAAGGGTTCAGGTGGAATTTCCAACAGCTCTAATCTACCTTCAAGCATCTCCACCACTTTGCTTATGTCTGGTCGAGTGGAAGGGTTGGTTTGTATACACCATAGAGCCATTATTGTCATCTTTCTCACTTTTTCGTCATCAATTTCATTTCTTATATTTCGTAAACCAAGATTCTGGTTTGAATCAAGACGGTTGTAAATCCAATGAGGAAAATATATTTCACTTGTGTGAGCGACATTAGTGTTGATATTTTTTCTCCTTCCGACCATTTCCATAACCATCATTCCATAACTGTAAACATCTGACTTGTGCGACACTGCACCAAAATTTCTAGAAAATACCTCGGGAGCAATGTAGCCTGCGGTTCCTCTAGCACCAAATATTGATACCATACTTTCTTTTCTTGTGCAAATTTTTGCAAGTCCAAAATCTGAAATTTTGGGATTGAAATTCTCATCCAAAAGAATGTTATGTGGTTTTATGTCAAAATGAAAAATTCTAGTATTGCAGCCTTTGTGCAGGTATTCTAGCCCCTGGGCTACACCAACTGCGATATGGTACAAAGTTTGGCAATCCAGTTGGAGTTCCGATATATGGCTATTTTCCTCAAAGATAAACTTCTCAAGTGAGCCATTTTGCATAAACTCATAAACTAAAGCTCGTTTGGAACCTTCTAAACAGAACCCTAGAAGAGTAACAATGTTAACATGAGAAGTCCGACCGATACTTGCAACTTCATTCAAGAATTCTTCACCGCTATCTTTCAATTCATTTAGGATCTTCACGGCAACGTAACGTCCATCCTGTAACTGTCCTTTGTATACACTGCCGAATCCTCCTTGGCCTAATTTGTTTTGGAAGGAGTTGGTCACTTTCTTAATTTCAGAGTAACCATACCTCTTGGTTTGAAGGGATCCATGTTTCTCCAAAAATACCTCAATTACTAGATTGGTTGGATTTTGTTTCTTCCATCTTGTATAGTAGATCTTGAGCACAGCTAGTAATAGAGTTACTATAACAACTGGAGAAGTTATTCAAATTAGAAAGAATAATTTAGGCTGAGAAAGTAGTGTTATTTAGAAAATGTTATTATCATGTTTGTGTAATGCAATATTAAAAGTGTAGATATCTTGATAAGTCTAAGAAAATATCACATATTATGCATTACCTACTCCAACTCCTATTACCAATATTTTCACAAGCGAACTTCTACTGCCTGCAGAAGTAAGAAACATATTATTTTGGTTTAAATTTTGACCATATGAAATAGATTATCTGTCTATATGTTATAAACTCGATATTTCGCCTTGTAAAATTAGCCTTATCAATTTCATTTTTTTCATCTCCTTTTAACCAGCTTTCATTTCATGGACCTCTTTTATAAATTGTGAGCTAATTTTTGGCACTATTTTCTAGAAAAAGTATCGGTGCATACCTTGGTCACAATGGAAGTTGCCATGAATGTCAAGTTGACATCGGCCCCTTTGGTGGCGAAGACACTTGTTGCAATCATCGGATAATTGTACTTTCATTTGGATTTCAGGAGACAGAAAATCAAAGGGGTCATCAGTAGGGCTGTCTCTTACTGCAACCTGATACACTGTACACTGTGCCAAAGAACTTGGCACTTCGACATTACCACCAGAGTTTTGAGGGCCATAGAAGATACTATAGGCAGTACAGTTTGTGTAGCTATAAAATGATTTGCATTTGAACATAGTTATATTATATTTGATGTAGAAAGAAGCTAAAGGAGAAGTGGGAGGAACAGGAAAATTGTGAAAGACTTGACAATTTTTGGATTTCAAATTCTTCCGTTGAGCTTCATTGTCCCTGACTAGTTGGATGGTTTTGGGAGCAGTTGTATTCTGTTATGATAGAAGGTCAGAGGAATATTCCTATCACTAATGCACATGTGGAAAAAGGACACTTGTCACATGATCCAAATTATGAGGAACCAAGACGTGGCACAAGAGAGAGAATTCCTAACAGAAAATACAGTACAGACTGTTAAATAGAGGCAGGATGGGGAATGATAGGGTGTGGAATTTAGTGGATGAAAACCTAGTCCCTTCTCTCTCTGAATTTAGCAGCTTTCCATGGTTGTTAGATTTTCTTGTATCTTCCTTTCCATTTGCTAATTCTAAAATTTCAGAAGATAAAAATTGTCCTAGATACTTGTTTAAGAATATAGTACAATTTAGCACAAATTATTTTGTTTACCTTTTACTGTTATTTGAACCATAACAGCTGGTGCTTTCATTCTCTTCCACCATGGCTGAAAACACTCGCATGAAGAGTATGGAGAATGCCATAGCAGAAATGCACAAAACCTTACAAAAATTTATGGAGGATTCAGATCAGCGTCACAATGAGTATATGCAGCAACGCCATTTGGATCATGCTCGCTTGGAAAGGGTTGAGAATTAGTTGAGTTCTCTTCATACGACGTCATCCACTGGTGGAAAGAACTCCACGCCGACACTGGCGACACAACCATTTCAGGTGCGTAATATCAAGCTGGATTTTCCAAGATTCGATGGATCTGAGGTCTTAAACTGGATTTTTAAGGCGGAACATTTTTTTGATTATTATGCCACACCGGACAACCACCGCCTTACCATTGCCGCCGTGCATATGGAGAAGGATGTTGTTCCCTGGTTTTAAATGATTTCTCGAAATCAGCCGTTTCAGTCATGGAATATGTTTACGCGTGCCCTTGAGATGGAATTTGGGCCGTCACCGTATGAATCACCTAGACCGACACTGTTCAAATTGGCCCAAACCACTATGTAGCAGATTATTACTCTGCTTTCACGGTTTTAGCTAACAGGGCCCAAGGTCTAAGCCCAGATGCCACACTAGACTGTTTCATCAGTGGACTCAAAACGGAAATCAAACGAGACGTCATTGCTCAGACCCCCACTTCTCTATCACGTGCCTTTGCCCTTGCCAAACTCTTTGAAGACAAATACTTCATACCACCACCTAAACCACCACCGGCGACCACCCATAAACCTTATCATTATCCAACCCAAAACCTTAACCCTCGAAATGGCCCCCAACCACCACTTCTGCCGTCACCCACACCAAAAGCCACCACCAACCCACCAAAATCTAACCCAGTTCGCAACATCACACGCGCCGAAATGCAATTGCGCCGCGAAAAAGGTTTATGTTATTACTGTGACGACAAGTTCTCTATCACACATAAATTCCCCAATCGCCATTATTTGCTACTTCAGATTGATGATGATGACGAACCCCCTCAGCCATCCGAACCTTTTGATTCACCCACCCCACCTCCCAACTCTGTTGACGAGTCTGAGCATCACTTATCCATGAACGCGTTAAATGGTTCTCATGGTGCTGGTACCTTACGATTTCAGGGCCACGTGCAGGGCATTAGTATAAGTGTGTTATTGGACAGTGGCAACTTTGACAACTTTATTCAGCCCCGCATTGATCATTGTCTCAAACTACCCATTCATTCCACTGAACAATTCAAAGTCATGGTGGGCAATGGCAATTCTCTGACTACTTTGGGATTCATAACTGAGCTTCCTGTCACTATTCAAGGACATATCCTGCATATCCCAGTGTATCTCTTACCTATCACAGGAGCAGATTTGGTTCTAGGCGCCCCTTGGTTAAAGACCCTCGGTCCTCACATAGCGAACTATAATGCTTTGTCTATCAAATTTTATGTCAAAGACACTTTTGTGACTCTATTTGGTGAGAAACACAAAGGTCCAATCCCTGCTCAGTTCCACCACATCAAGAGACTTCACAATACGAAGGCAATTGAAGCCTCATTTACTCTGCAGTTCCAAAAAATACATCCTGCCACCGGTTTTGATCCAACAGGGTTACACCCTGACTTGACTGCTATTCTGCATAGTTTCCATGATGTTTTTGCTGAGCCTCAAGGTCTACCACCTGCCCGCTTTCATGATCATGTTATTCCATTGGTTCAAGGCAGCAATCCGGTCAAGGTAAGGCCCTATAGATACCCTCATAGTCAAAAGTCTCAAATTGAATCCATGGTTTTGGAGATGTTGACCCAAGGCATCATCCAACCTAGCAATAGCCCTTTTTCCTCTCCTGTCCTCTTAGTTAAAAAGAAGGATGGATCTTGGAGATTTTGTATGGATTATAGGGCTTTAAACACTATTACTGTGAAAGATAATTTTCCTATCCCTATAGTAGATGAGCTATTAGATGAATTATATGGGGCACAATACTTTTCCAAGCTGGATTTAAGGTCAGGGTATCACCAAATTTTAGTCAAGCCTGAGGATAGATTCAAAACTGCTTTTAGGACTCATCAAGGCCTTTACGAGTGGCTTGTGATGCCTTTCGGCCTGTCCAATGCACCTGCCACCTTTCAGAGCTTAATGAACCACGTCTTTCAAGTTCAGTTAAGAAAATCAGTTTTGGTCTTCTTTGACGATATACTAATCTACAGCCCTTCATGGTCTGCACACTTGAGTCACTTGGAGGAAGTGCTGCAACTCATGAGATCCCATTCCCTCTTTGCTAAAATGTCAAAATGCTGCTTTGGCTTCACTGAGGTTGACTATTTGGGCCACACCATCTCTAACAAGGGTGTTCAAATGGACAAATCTAAGATTCAAGCAGTCCTTGATTGGCTCCCTCCCACAAATCTGAAACAATTGCGTGGTTTTTTGGGTCTGTCCGGTTATTACAGAAGGTTTGTCCGCCATTATGCCACCATTGCTGCCCCATTGACTGAACTCTTAAAGAAAGATGCCTTCCAATGGACTTCTCAGGCCACAGATGCATTTCAAGCCTTGAAACATGCCATTACGGTTGCGCCTGTGTTAGCACTACCAGACTTCACCAAACCCTTCATTCTTGAAACAGATGCCTCGGGTACCGGTATTGGTGCAGTCCTTAGTCAAGACAAACACCCTATAGCTTATTTCTCCAAGAAGCTTAATCCTTTGATGCAGAAGAAATCAGCTTATGTTAGAGAACTTTATGTTGTTACTGAAGCAATGGCGAAGTTTCGTCATTATTTGTTGGGTAATCACTTCATCATTCGCACTGATCAGAAAAGTTTGAAAGCCTTAACTGATCAGACCATCCAGACTCCGGAGCAACAGAAGTGGCTGCACAAATTCTTGGGTTTCGATTTTTCCATTGAGTATAAACCCGGCAAGGATAACATTGCAGCTGATGCGTTATCTCGATCATTTTTTGCCTTATCCGGACCAATCAACCCCCTGCTACCATTAATTACAGTGGTTGTGAATGAAGATCCTCACTTTTCAACCATCAAACAACAATGTATGCAGGGCACCTGTACAGAGCCTTTCTTCCATGTGCAGCAAGGCATCTTATTTTGGAAAAATCGTGTCATGGTTCCCCCTAGACCACACTTGATTCAAGCTATCTTAGAGGAATTCCACTCGTCTATGTTGGGAGGACATGCCGGTATAGCACGCACCAAAGCTAGAATCACTTCTCAATTCACTTGGCCTTCTATGACTAAAGATATTCGACGATTTGTCTCACAATGTTTGGTGTGTCAACAAGCAAAGTCGTCTACTTCCGCTCCTGCGGGACTACTGCAGCCACTACCCATACCGGCTCAAGTGTGGGAGGATTTATCCATGGACTTTATCACTGGTCTTCCCCATTCGAATGGGTTTACTGTCATTATGGTTGTCGTGGACAGGTTATCCAAATACAGTCATTTCGCTCCTCTGAAAGTTGACTTTACTAGTCTCAAAGTCGCTGAATCCTTCCTACATAATGTGGTGAAATTACATGGATTTCCTCGTAGTTTGGTATCGGACAAAGATAAAGTATTTACAAGTGCATTTTGGCAGCAGCTATTCAAATTGAGTGGCACAACCTTGGCTATGAGCACAGCTTACCATCCTCAGTCCGATGGTCAGACAGAGGCAGTTAACAAATGTCTGGAGCTGTATTTGAGGTGTTTCACAGGGCAGGAACCTCAGAAATGGTCCAAGTTGCTTGACTGGGCCGAATTTTGGTATAATTCTTCGTTTCAGTGCAGCATCGGCATGACACCATTCAAAGCGGTTTATGGCAGAGACCCTCCTAACTTAGTCAAGTATGATACTGCAAAATCAGCACCTATACCATTACAAACATTGCTTGTTGAAAGGGACCTCACCCTTTTACTCCTCAAAGCAAATTTACACCGTGCTCAGCAAGTCATGAAGAAGTATGCCGACGCCAAACGCAAGTTTGTGGAGTATCAATTGGGTGATATGGTATCGATCAAGTTACAACCATATAGGCAACACTCTGTCGCTTTACATCGTAATCAGAAGCTTGGTATGCGTTATTTTGGGCCTTTTCCTATCATTGAGAAAATAGGTACTGTTGCTTATAAGGTGCTGCTGCCACCGTCAGCCAAAATACATCCTGTCTTCCATGTGGTTAACTTGAAACTGTGCAAAGGAGAGCATCACACTCAATATTTTCCACTTCCACTGCTGACTTTGGAGACTGGACCCTTGTTGGTTCCGGAGGAGATCATGGACACCAGAGTGTTGCTGCAAAAAGGGCACAAACTGTCCCAAGTCTTGGTTAAATGGGCAGGCTTACCTCACACTGAAGCAACATGGGAGAATCAAGAAGAGCTGCAAGGCAATTTTCCCAACTTTAACCTTGAGGACAAGGTTAATTTTAATGGAGGGGGTAATGTTATGATAGAAGGCCAGAGGAATATTCCTATCACTAATGCACATGTGGAAAAAGGACACTTGTCACATGATCCAAATTATCAGGAACCAAGACGTGGCACAAGAGAGAGAATTCCTAACAGAAAATACAGTACAGACGGTTAAATAGAGGCAGGATGGAGAATGATAGGGTGTGGAATTTAGTGGATGAAAACCTAGTCCCTTCTCTCTCTGAATTTAGCAGCTTTCCATGGTTGTTAGATTTTCTTGTATCTTCCTTTCCATTTGCTAATTCTAAAATTTCAGAAGATAAAAATTGTACTAGATACTTGTTTAAGAATATAGTACAATTTAGCACAAATTATTTTGTTTACCTTTTACTGTTATTTGAACCATAACATATTCTTATTATCACAGCCAAGTATTGCCAAAGCGCCGCACTGAGGGTGCTGTGGAACTGTGAGAGGGAATGTAATCTGGCCAAGATATCCACAACTAAAAGAAGTTGGACATCTTTCATGATCTTGAGCTGAAACACGAAGCATAAGCATGGAGAAAAGAAATAACGATTTGATAATGAAAAACCAAGGCATTACTAATGTTACGAATTTTGATAAGGGGAAGATAATTAAGCATGAGAATGGGAGCAGCACGTTAATAATGCAAAAGTAATAAGTATGATTAAGTTTTTGGTTGTTGCAATCATTGTTGACTTGGAGTTGGAACTGTTGAGTCAATACTATGGGAATTTGCTTCCACAAGGTTGTTGCAATCATCTTGACTTTATTTTTAGGCAATAGACTTAATTTTTCATTGATATTGTATAGATTAAATGCATTAACTTTTAAATGCTTATTGCTTAATTGGTGGAGTTCCGCTTATATTTCATTATGAATGGAGTATGAATTCTTACTGTCAAATTGAATATAAATTCATCTTCTCTACCTAAATAAACACCAAGTTTTCAACATAACTTATCGTCTAAAATATATCTATCAGCAAGAAACTTCCTTATGGTTGCCCATCGAAGACAATTTGAGCTGACTCCCAGTCTTCACGCTACTATACAAAACAATAAATGCTCATAATCATTTAGAGTGAGGATTGTCTCCACTTATAAACACATGTTCAGACCATAAATTGTGTGATGTGAGACTCATAACATTAACTTTTAACCTCTACTTATTATGGATTGAAAAATCAATTTCATCTGATTGCGTGCAGGAGTTGTTCTTTTAAACATGTTTATTTTTCAAGATGTCTTTTTGCCTCATACCCATTTGTTGTCTTTTTTATTTATTCTTCTCAAGGACTTGTATGTGTGAGAGGGTAGTTAGAAAAAAAAAGTACAAGAGAAAGAAAAGGTAATAGTAAAAAAGAAAGGATGTTTTACTATATTTAACAAACCTGTTGAATTGGTCTCAACACACCCTGTGTGACGTAATGCAGACTGTCTAAGAGTAATGAAAAGTGCAGTGTGGAAAATGGTTTATCTGTTTGTATCTGTAAATAGTTGAATAGTCATTGGGGCCAAGTGATCTTCTGCAGTCAACTAAGTAGTTTGATCATACATGCATTGTATGGTGAAGAATGAATGAAGACTTGGCTTATATTATCAATTTTTTAAGCTCATAAACGTATTAGTTGGTTATTAATGATGAGCTTAGTTTACGAATTTCTATTCCTTTTGTTTTCTCACCTTATGCTACTTGGTAATGGGTACCAAGAAGATTGTCCAGCTTCATTTAGTTGTGGATATCTTGGCAATATCAGCTTCCCTTTCACTACAACACAGCGCCAGGATTGTGGCTTATTGCTAATACAAAATTGTGATGATCAACTGAAGCCCAAAATAATCCAATTTCAGGATAAAGGGAAACTGTTTGAGGTTGGAACTGTAAATCCTCTAGAGTTTCGCAGTGGTCATGCTACTTGTACTTGTGTCTTCAGAGACAGGAATCTCTACCAACTGATGCAAAACAAAAGTTGTCAAGCTCTCAGAAATACTTATATTCCACCTCCCACCTCTCACTTTGTTTCTTTACATTTAGAAACTCATGCAACCTTGTTCATGTGCAACCGTTCACTCCATCTAAACCCTCCAACATATACGCATACCTATACAAACTGCTCTCTCTATGATTTCTACTACCAGCCTTACAATGCTGATAATGCATCTCAGAGTGCTTTCACAGCTTGTACAAAGGTCCTGCTTCCAGCTAAAGACTTTGCTGACGCTGACGACCCTTTTACTTTCGTTACTGCTGATATCCCAACTCAAGTAAACATTACAGAGGAATGTTTAAATTGTCACTACAACCAAAGAGGACGTTGTCAACTTGACAGCAACGGAAGGTTTTATTGTGCCTACGGTATTCTAACAAACATCCCGAAAACACATAAATGCATTGTACTCTATTTTTCCCTTCACAACTTTATTCTCATCTGTCGAATCTGAATTGTTTACTCTATTTGCAGCTATGGTTGCAAAACAAAAAGGGCTGGCGTGGAATGTTAAACTGGGTATAGGTAATGTACCATTTCCATCACTTTCATAACATGCCTTCAAGGTTCATTTATCTTTAATGTGAAAGTTCATCAATAAGTTACAATGCAAATTTTGTAGAAGAAAATTAAAGTTTAGTCGGGCTAACATAAAAATATATATTTTGTTGTATTACGAAGCCACTACTTGTTAAAAAAACAAAGTTAATACTTTCTTACACTAAACATTTTTGTTGTATTTCAAATAATTTACAATTCTCCAACAGCATCAGTAATTATTGGAGTTGCAGTGCTGACGTTGTTGGCTTATTTGATAAGGACAAAGAACTTCACTCCAGCATTTCTTTTGTTCAAGAAAGAAAATTCAAACCATCATATTATTGAGGAGTATTTGAAAGAACATGGACCTCTTCCTGCTGCTGCTAGGTACAGTTATTCTGATATTAAAAAAATAACAAACTCTTTCAAAACCAAATTAGGCCAAGGAGGGTATGGAAGTGTATACAAAGGGAAATTGCACGATGAGCGACCTGTTGCAGTGAAGATTTTAAGTGAATCAAAAGGTGATGGTGAAGATTTCATTAACGAAGTTGCAAGTATAAGTAGAACATCACATGTCAATGTTGTTAGACTTTTGGGATTCTGTTTGGATGGTTCTAAAAAGGCGCTGATATATGAATACATGTCTCATGGATCTCTTGAAAAGTTCATATATGAAGAGAAAAATCCACTGCAGGATGATCGTCAATTGGATTGCAAAACTTTGTATCATATTGCAGTTGGTGTTGCTCGTGGATTAGAATATTTGCACAGAGGCTGCAACACTAGAATCTTGCATTTTGACATAAAACCTCATAATATATTACTGGATGAGGATTTTTGTCCAAAGATTTCTGATTTTGGACTTGCTAAAATATGTCCAAAAAAAGAAAGCATTGTATCCATATTTGGTGCGAGGGGAACGCCAGGATATATTGCTCCAGAGTTGTTTTCCAGAAACTTTGGTGGCGTGTCACATAAATCAGACGTCTATAGCTATGGAATGATGGTTTTAGAGATGGTTGGTCGAAGAAAGAATATTAAGGTTGAAGTTGATTGTTCTAGCAAGCTATACTTTCCACATTGGATTTATAAGCGCCTTGAATTGAATCAGGATCTTGGACTTAGGTGTATTAAAAATGAAATTGATGAAGAAATGGTAAGGAAAATGACAGTGGTGAGTTTATCGTGCATACAAACCAACCCTTCGAATCGACCATCGATGCATAAAGTGGTGGAAATGTTGGAAGGGAGCCTTCAAGTGCTGGAAATGCCACCCAAACCCTTTTTGTCTTCTCCTTCAACATCTCCAACCCATTTATCGTCTGAAATACTGTAATTTGTGTGGTTGTTAAGATGCAATGTAGAGAGAAAGGCATGATAATTGACATAAGTAAAATGTTATGTATAATATCCTTATTGTTGTATTGAAGGCAAATGTATTGTCCAACTTTAAGAAATTTCTGTGTATTGTGAGATTGTCTACCATAAGAAATGAATGGTTCTCATCTGATTAAGAATGTATGATTAATTGTATGATTACATTTTTGCACTGAACATGCATCACAATTCACCATATGAATTAGGTGCTACTTTTTCTTTGCAATATGACAATATGATTTTTCTTAATCCTAATGGGTTTTTAGATTAGCTAATCTTGCAGAAAGAAAATAAGGGCATAAAAATTAAAGCCAAGAATGGTTCCAACAACCTTGTGGAAGATTAAAGCCATAGCTGAAAATTTGGAATGTTGAAGGAGTCAATTCCTGAATGTTCTGTTATGTCTATAGAGAAAATGAAGCAGTGGGTCCAACTTCATCAGTGGAATAATTAAGGCATGGCCAGAAACACACGTTTGTTAACTCTTATTTTCACCAAGTCTATATATACTATATACTTGAGAAAGTACTTCCTTGCCTGCCTGCAAACATATGACACGTTATATAAGCATTCTATGGAAAATTGACATAACATTTTTTACATAAACTCATTTTCAGTAACAATTATTGAGTATGTAATTCACTTTTTAGTATGTTTAAAAAAAATCACTTTTAGTAGCAGTTTGTTTGTACTATAAGTGAGTGACTTGCAACATAAGTCAACGGTTACAAGTGATAGTTTGTGCAATTAGTTAAAATAATTGTTTTGCATCTCTTTAGTTTGATCTTTGTTTTTTTATGTTCATTACCTTAGAATCAAGTAGTTCTAACAAATTGATATCACAGTCATTGGTTTGATCCAAACTTCTATCTATGACAAATGAAAGCATAATCCATATTCAATTTCTTGCAAATTTATCGGTGTTTAAAAGGAGAATACTATGATAGATGGTGTACATAAATGAGAATTTGTTGCACGTACAGAAGCAAGTACAATTTTTATCAACTTTACAAATGCTTGTTGTGATTTAAAGACCGTTCAATAGTTTCTATGACTTTAAGAATAGTTTATCAAATTTGCTTGTTTGTGAATGCAAAGAGTAAAATAACATAAAGTAAAATGAACTTTGCCCTGATTTGTAACAAAGGGCGGACAAACCTTATGTTTTGTTTTATTCTGAGTTATTGTTGCGAGATTAAATGTTATAACTGTTAACTATGAAAGTTTTGGTCAAAGAAACCGTATCTCTTTTCATTCTGATCTCTCATATAAATATTGTAGTTACAAGCTGTCAGGTTTGAATATTCAACCCACTAAATTAGCTAAACTGCCCTATTTACATTTACAGCTAATTATGTTAATTAAGAGAATAAATATTACAAATAAATATACAATCTCTACAAAATTATTTCTAATAATTAACTCATTATTGCCAATAATTCTGTTGACATCCCCCCTCAAATTGATGCTGGTAAATCTACAAGCATCAATTTGCCAAGTAGAAAATTGTGTCGTCGGCGTGTCAAGGTTTTAGTGAAGATGTCAGCTATTTGAATAGATGTTGAGACATGTGGTAGATTGATGACTCTTCTATCATAGGCTTCTCGAATAGAGTGACAATCAACTTCGATGTGTTTCGTCCGTTCATGGTAAACTGGATTTGCTGCAATCTGAATGGCACTGGTATTGTCAGCATGCAGCGGAGTTGGTTGTTGTTGAGAGAATCCAAGCTCAACAAGAAGACCACGCAACCATATTATTTCAGAACAAGCGGCATACATTGCACGATATTCTGCTTCATTGGATGACTTTGAGACAAAATCTTGTTTCTTACATTTCCATGAAATAGGAGCATTTCCTAGGAACATACACCAGCCAGTAGTAGATTTTCTTGTGTCTGGACATCCAGCCCAATCGGCATCACTATATGCTTGGAGTTTGATTGACGAATCAACAGGAAAAAATAAACCTCGCTTTGGAGTGCCAAGTAGGTATCTAATGATCCATTGTACTGCTGAAAGATGGAAATGTCGTGGAGCTTGCATGAACTTACTAACCGTGTGTACAGCGAAAGAAATATCTTGATGAGTGATAGTGACATAGATAAGACTTCCTACCAGTTTGCGATATTGAGTGGGATCATCAAGAATGTCACCTTCATCTCTTCTATATTTAACATTAACTTCCATGGGAATGTCTACGGGGGTTGCATTTGTGAGTCCAGCTAGTTGTACCAAGTCTTGAATATACTTTTGTTGATTTAGAAAAACACCTTCATGATGATAATGCACCTCTAAACCCAAGAAATAAGTGAGATGGCCTAATTCTTTCATTTGAAAAGCAGAATGCAGCAAGTGTTTGATTCTAGAAATAACATCTTGATCAGAACCTGTGACGACGATGTCATCCACATAAACAAGAAGCACCACAATGCCTTTAGGAGTCCTTTGTAGGAAAAGATATGGATCATACTGACTTTGATTGAATTCAAAACCAAGTAGTGTCGATCGAAACTTTTCAAACCAAACTCTCGGTGCCTGTTTCAATCCATATAAAGATCATTTTAATTTGCAAACAGTGTTAGGTGAAGGTGTAGGCATACCATTAGGAAGTTTGATATAAACTTCCTCCTGAAGATCATCGTGGAGGAATGCGTTTTTAACATCCATTTGATGTAGTGGCCAAGCTTGTGACGCAGCAATATCAAGAATAGTGCGCCCAGTTGTCATCTTGGCAACCAAAGCAAACGTCTCATCATAGTCAAGTCCATATTCTTGCTTATTTCCAAGCACAACTAAAAGAGCCTTGTATCGATCTATGGATCCATCCGAGCGCAGCTTTATGGAAAGCACAAACTTGCTGCCTAAAGGTTTAACGGATGAGGGACATGGCACTATATCCTAAGTTTGATTTTCTTCCAGGTCAAGAAGTTCTGTTTCAATAACTTTCTGCCAACAATTATTCTCCATGGCCTGTTTATAAGATGAAGGAATAGGAATAGAAGATAATGATGCTGTCATGCAATTTGTAACACCCCCTTTCTATACCCCCAAATAATCAAATAAATTATTTAGGCACATAATAAAGATTCCATCAGAGTAAAAATAAAACACGGTATAAAAGAGGCATGTTGCATTATACGTGAACTATTAAAACATACAACACCTGCTCATTTAAAGATATGCAACAGTGGAGTAACTTTCAAACAAAGGAACTTAGTCCTTACACCCACATCACAATATTTAGAATGAAAGCGGAAAATCTAAACATTGAATCACAACCAGCATGTATAAACATATATATATATATATATTCACATCATCCAATATAAGTCATCAACATCATTCATGTTTACATAAACATGCATCACCAAAAATACATATACAAATATATCACCAAAAAGAGGCAAAGGCTTCCTAGCTACCCAGTGTTACATATATGAGCCATCTGACCAAAACAATGAAGACACGCTTCACAAAAAGGGATCACCAGTATAACGCCCCGATTCTGAATTTCCCATTAATTTGTTGAGTCTTTTGATTTATTTGGTTGATAATTATTTTAATTGTGAGATTTATATATATTAATATGTTATGTGTGCATATTATAGTATTTTATTATTACGAGAGTTTTGGAAATTAATTAGAGGGTGTTTTAGATAATTCTTGATTAGTAGTATTTTGAGAGAAATAGAATAGAAAGAGTATAAGTGAAAATAGAGAGAAAAGAAATAGATAGAAAGAAATAGAAAGGAAAGAAGAAGAGAGAAGAGAAAAGAGGAGGAAGAGGAGAAAAACCTAGAATCATCAAGAATCAACTTCTAAGCTTTTGATTAATTGGGTAAGGGTGTGAAACTTTATTATTCTTTCAATGTGTATGATTATGTATGTTCTTGTTGGTTTGTTTTGGATTGGGGAGAGTTTTACTCATTTTTCATTCTAGGGCATAACATGGATTTAATCGATAGAACCCGAGTTTTTATTGGTAAAAATGAGAATAAGTGGTATAATTTATGTCGGGGGATGTTAGACTAAGTTGCTGGAATGAGTTGGGATGTAATCGGGCGAATCCAAGATTGTTGGAGTTGTGGAACAGTGAGAAATTCTGAGTTCGCATACACTCGCTAGCAAGTTCACTAGGCGAGTTGGTCGCGAACGTTCGCTAAGCAAGCTGTAGCGAATGAGTAGCGAATGGTCTCAGACTTGGGCATAATGGATTTGAGGTGCTTCACTGGTTGCGAACGTGGTAGCGAACACTCGCTAGGCCTTCACTGAGCGAACAGGGTAGCAAACCAAGTCAAAGGCTTCTATTTGCCTTCGCGAGCTTGTTCGCTGGGCGAACAGATAGTGAGCACTCGCTAGGAGATCGCTGAGTGAGCGAGGTAGCGAGCATAGCAGTGTGTTGTTTTCTTGTGTTTTCACTTCCACGTTGATTCGTTGATTCAATTATGATTGTTCTTTCTTATTATGCATGGTTATATGTTGTGAATGATGTGTTGTGGGTAGCCGTATGACGTGAACCCTAGATTGTGAATCGTGAACTGTGAAACGTGGCTGTTAGGCAATTTTGTGCATTTGTTTGAATTAAATGGAAATGCATGGTGAGATTGGTGTAAATGTGCATAATTATATGTACTTGTATGATGTGACGAATGCATGAGTATGCTTGGGAACATGTATGCATTTCAAGAGTGTATTGAGTCGTTTTGCATGTGAAGCATCATGATTGCATTCTTGTGTGTCTCATCCCATGTAGGATCTGCAGAAACCTTTTGTGTCCTTGTGGGGTGTGAGCGATGTTTTATATACTTTGATCCCTAGGAGGATCTGCAGAAACGATCGTGTGCCCTTGTGGGGTGTGAGCGATGGTTATTTTTGATTCCGTGGAGAATCTGCAGAACGATTGTGTGCCCTTGTGGGGTGTGAGCAATCGGATTGTGTACCCGTGTGGGGTGTGAGC